TACAGACTTGAAGCTTCGCATTGTTCGCTCGAGCGAGCCTCGATTATATCAGTTGGCAGCAACGTGATATTCGTCACCTTTTTCATTCCAAACCCTAAATCTAACTGCCCCTCTCTCTCTACACGCTCTCCTTCTACAAATACTTCATGTTCTAGAGGTTTTCTACCCTAGTCCCTTTGTAAGAAAGTTAGAGCTTGGCTTAGGCTATCTATTGATCCGAAAAAGTTAGGATTTGGAGCATCTACAAGTTTCTCTTCCTTCTCCTTTGAGTTTCTCTATTTGAGGTAGGGATAATCTACTCTTTATTATGAGTTTTAACATAAATTTTAGTCATTTTGTATAAATGGTAAGATTTGGGAAGTTTGGTGAAGTTTGGGTTTTGAGTTGAAATTGTGAAAGAGGGATTTTCTAATATTGGGGGAAATATGGAATTGGCTTGGAAATTATGGAATTGGGAAAATATGAGATTGAATGGTGTAGTTGAATCGATAAATCACTCATCAATGGAAAATGTAATAAATTACCTATTTGATAGATTTATTTATCTGTTTAGAAATAACTATTTTGGGCTATCGGTGAAGGATAGTCTTGATTGTTGTAGACACTGCATGATGATTAGGGAAATTGAAACTAATTAATTGGACTATGTCATTGAATGTGACGGTGGAATTAACGCATTGAATATGTGAATTATTGGGTCTTGTATATGACTATGTGTTTAAATACATTGTATATATATATTGTGTGGGAGGAGATAGGGGATGCACTCCATTTGGTTGGGAGGAGATAGGGGATGGACTCCATTGATAATTAAGTTGGCCCAAGTGTCCAGGGTGAAAGTTCCGAAACCTTTTATATATTTGGGTGCCGGTTCCCTCGGATGTAGTTCCGTAAAATGGCAAGAAAATGGAAGTGTTAAATGTTGTTGATTATTGAACTGTTGATATATGAGTTGTAGTCCCATTTTAAATTGTTTGGATAATATTGGATAATGTAAGTGGATTGATTTGGATAAATGAAAGGAAGCGGTTTGCAAATATTGATTGGTTATGGAGAGAATATAAGTTGGTTTATAAGTGTTAAACATTTATCAAATGTTAATGCTTTAGTTAATTCTCATATACGGTTTAGCATATCTCTACTGGGCTTTGGCTCACCCTATTTGGGACACTATTTTCAGGTACAGGTGACATGCCGCCTCCAAGATCCTAGCTTAGGAGGTTTTGGAGTTGAAGACTCCCTTTTGGTTATTTTGTTTTGATGTTACATGTTTATTCAAGCCAAGGGCTTTCTATGTATAAAGTTAGGACTCTTATTTTGTTGTAACCAAGTCAATACTTGAAAAAATGTAAGCCCGTAGAGCATTTATTTTGTTGCTAGCATGTAACATCTTTTGTAAAGAACACTTTGATGCATGGAATATAATACTTTTTCTATGTTTTATGAATCTTGTGAATGAATGAGTTATGTTTTATTTTGAGGGCGTTACGGCTGATGTTCCTCTCGCAGCAAGAGTTGTTGTGCCATCAAGTGGGTCCGACTCCGGATTCATTATCATTATTTAAATTGTTCATTTTTTGGAAATGGTTGAGTAAATCCTTCATAATGTTAGTAACCACATGATCCAATCATATTTTTGTTTAAACAAAATGAATGTGATTTTGGAAATAAATTGGAATTTTGTAAAGACAAATATAATCGGATCATGTGACTACCGATATTCAATCAATCTAACTTTTTACATTAATGATAACCATAATGCGTCCTAAAAGATGAATAATTTGAGCCATAATAATTGGTTTGGGATTGAGCCCACTTACTAGCATAGCTAGAGAGAGATAAAGGATTAATTACACATATGTCATGACCCACTGAGTTGGTTACACAAAATCTCTACTAGGGGATGGCTAAAACATTAGAGGCTAAGGAAAGATTCCGGAAACTCCCAGAAGGTCTCAAGAACATTAGATATAATTCAATAGTTTTTAGATAGTTCTAAGGAGGGTGCCTGTATAAAGTGTAGTACAGTTCTAAGAATGATGTCAAAGCCTCTATCTAGAATAAAAGATTCCAAAAACTCTCGGAAGGTTTGAGAGAATGCAAGAATGTTATATATAATTCTATATTTTTTAGATAGTTCTAAGAAGGGTGCCTATATAAAGGGAAGGATAGTTCTAAGCCGGATGTGGAAGCTTCTATCTAGAATAATATTTAAAAGCTAGAGTGCCTATATAAAAGGAAGGCCTCATTTGGCCAAACCATCCAAAGGTAATGTAATATAAGGAGAAGGGTGCCTATATAAAGGGAAGGATAGTTCTAAGAATGATGCGGAAGCCTCTAATCTAGAATAATCCTTAAAAGCTAGAGTACCTATATAAAAGGAAGACCTCATTTGGCCAAACCATCCAAAGGTAATGTAATATAAGGATATTCGATACAAGCTAAAGCAATCTTCAAATCAGATAATAAGACCCACACGCGTATAGGGAGATTTGACCTACTGGCATTCTTGACATTAGATAATAAGACCCACATGCATATAGGGAGATTTGAACAACTGGACTATTGACCTCCTAGTCCAGTGTAAGAGTTCTGACCAATCGGGTTAACTTCATTGGTTGTGTTCTATTTGTATTGTTAATATTTTTTTTAGTACATCAAAGACAGAGTATGGGAAATTATGTACAATAGAAATTTAAAAAAATATATATTTGTACAACAAAAATTATGATTTTTTTTAAAAAAATTTAATACATAAAAGTACAAAATAATTCAAAATAATGCACACCAAGTTGCTAAAGGTTTGTCTCTGTTTTTTGTGTGTTTTGTAATATATCTAGAAAAGATAAACAGACACACACACACAGACAAACTTACCTGACATTGTGGGGTTAAGCTTTGTCCAGATATTTCGCCGGAGATGTAGTGTAGCGCTAAACCCTAAAACCCCTTTTTGCTATTGGGAACCGATAGAACCAGTTAATAATGCAGAACCAAATCGTGCTTTGACCGTTTTGTGTAGATTAGTTGAAAACGACGTCGTTTCAGTTGGCGAAGAAAAGTGCTCCCGTCTTTCAACCATGTTTGGAGATTCAAACTTTGGTTTTTTTTTTTTAAAAAGTGTTTTGATTTGGGAATTTCAATTGAAACATTGGGGCTTTGATTGAGGACCTCAAAAAGAGGTTGTGAAATTTTATTTGTTGAATCTAAAAAAAATTAAGGTTATGTAGCGATTGGGGTTCTGGTAACTTAGTTGTATAAAAAATTAATTTGAAAAAATTACAAAAAAATATCTTAGGGTTTAACCATTTTAAGCTCAATGAAAATTGGTATTTTATACATTTTACGTATACTTAAACTAACATTCCACCCGTGTTATTCACAGGTCGAAGAAAAGTGCTCCCGTCTTTCAACCATGTTTGGAGATTCAAACTTTGGTTTTTTTTTTTTAAAAAGTGTTTTGATTTGGGAATTTCAATTGAAACATTAGGGCTGTGATTGAGGACCTCAAAAAGAGGTTGTGAAATTTTATTTGTTGAATCTAAAAAAAATTAAGGTTATGTAGTGATTGGGGTTCTGGTAACTTAGTTGTATAAAAAATTAATTTGAAAAAATTACAAAAAAATATCTTAGGGTTTGACCATTTTAAGCTCAATGGAAAATGGTATTTTATACATTTTACGTATACTTAAACTAGTATTCCACCCGTGCTATTCACATGTTGTATTTATAATTATTTGTATATATGTGACTTGCGATTTTTAAATGTCTTTTTTTCACACAGAAAAATGAATATAACAAATGCAGCATATTTTCAATCAAATATTTTATGTTGCTTTATTCAAAATTTAAAAATATACAGGCAAAATTTATAACTAAATTAAGAAAAAATTTATTCCTAACGACATTTTTTTTACTTTTATATAAATATTTAAACAAATAAACTTGAAAAAATAGTCAATATAATATTATACATTAAGTAAAAAAAATGTGGTTAGCAACTATGCTTACGTAAATTTACTATAGTTTTAATTTCAATTTTTTTTAAAAAAAAAAATTATTTTAAAAGCATTTTATTTAGCTAGTACCAAATAGAATTTTCTTACCAAAAAGTAAAGTTATAAAACACTACAAGAAATTACATTTTTCGCAACGCAAAAAAATATGTTGCTAAAAGGGAAAATTCGTTGGCAAAGAGTTTTGCCGACACACAAAGCTACGTTGGCAACCCGTAGGCAAAAGTGAGTGGGCAAAAGTTTTTGTCGACGAAATTATCATTGCGTTGGTAAAAGTAATTCCTTTAGGAACATAGTCGTCGATAAAAGCCTCCATCCATCGTTGGCAATTTACCTTGCGTTGGTAAAAGTCATTCAAATATGATGATTGTGTGGCACTTTTCGGACACAAATTTGCATGGGCAAAAAATATACTTTTACCAACAATATATGCGTCGGCAAAAGTAAACTTTTGGCAACACATTTACGTCGGTAAATGTTGCCATTTGCCGATGATTTGTTTGTTGCTAAAGGTTTACTTTTGGCAACGACAAATTGGCATTGGCAATTTATACACTTCTACCAACACAATATAAGTGGGCACAAGTAACTTTTAGCGACACATTTACGTCGGTAAATGTTGCCATTTGCCAACGATTTGATTGTCGATAAAGCTTTAGTTTTGGCAACGACAAATTGGCATTGGCAAAAATTACACTTTTAGCAACACAATATGAGTGGGCAAAAATAAACTTTTGGCTACACATTTACCGACAAGTTGTTTGTCGAGAAAGCTTTACATTTTGGCAACGACAAATTTGTAGCGGAAAAAAAAATTGAAAATTATGTATATTTTTTTATAAGATTTACATATTTACAAGAGGCATCCCTCAAGCACTAATATTACAAACTAAAAACACTGCTGAAAAATATGAGTGGCCAAAAACACTGCTGAAAAATATGAGTGGCTACACTTTTAGCAACACAATATGAGTGGCCAAAAACACTGCTGAAAAATATGCTTTTGGAAGCGTTGTATAAAACCTAAAAGGGTAAACTCACTAAAATACACAAATACATCCAAATTGTGAACCCATAGTAAAAACAGCAGATAACAAAATGAAATCATGAAACTAACAACCACCCAAATTTGCAGCAGACCAGCATCTAGTAGCAGCCCGCTTCACAGCAACATTACAGCAGCAGCAGCAGCCCAGCAAAATTCTGCAGCAGCACACTGGCAGCAGTAGCAGCAGACCAGCAGAATTAAAGATGAACATCTAAGCAACAAGGCAATCACTATTGTAGTGTGTTACCGAGTGGAAGCAGTAAAGATGAAGCCATATTTTCTTTCTTTTGGTAACAAAAAATGAATTTCAACGCAATCACTATTATTGTAGTTAAACAATAATTCTATATTTAGAATTTAGTATGTTCAAATTTGTAAATCTACACTTACAATGATAGATGCTCGTGATGCAAATTTACTTTTAACAGATGATGGGACCACAATACTTTTAAAATCTTCATGCGACAAATAAGTAACCAGTGGAAGGAAAGATTCACTGAGACCCATTGTTGGCTTTTCTTTTGCATTCAGAACTGATTTAACATACATATCAAGAAATGTTGGCTGTGCAACAAAAAGCAATCAATCAAAACACTAGCTAGAGGGACGTTAAATATAAGTGCAACATAAAATCCGAAATCGCAGGACCTAACATAACATTAACATCATGTTTGACAACATTGATAATTTTAGTGCCATTTTAGTATTACTAAACACTGTCAGCATCCAAATTTGTAGAATTTCAAAATGTAATGGTTAATTTGGCACTTGAAATCAGAATTTAAATCATATTCCATTTAGCATGTTCATCATTTTGTGCAAAGTCAAGTTTCTCTATCTTAAAAATTAGACCCCCTCTTTAATGGATTTTATTCTTTAATTAGTAACTAATTTTGCATTACCAAATTGCACTCAATAGACGAAGCTCCAAAATTTATCATTTTTTAGCACTAGATAGGGTCATCAATAGCCGACAAGAATATTGTTGCTGATACAACAGCTAAAAGAAAAGAGCTTCTTACCTTCCATTGATCAAATAAAGAAGGAATTGAACTTGAAAATTCCAGTAAAAGCCCCAACAGTTTCGGGCTATCTTTGTATGGGATCCTCGCATCCTTTAGTTCTGCAATGTAGGTTTTGTAGATTTATGATGACTGAAAAAATTAAAAATATAAAATGCATAAAAAATTTAGAACTAGAAAACCATAAAAATGATTTAATCAAAACTGGACAAATGTTAGAGGGGTAAACCTCTAAGAACAAACGAAAAAATGTTCGTTTAAGGCATTGCTCATAAGATTCAATGGCCAAAGTTATATTGCCGGCATCTCTATAAAGAGGCCCTATACAAAAATAATTTTAAGAAACTAATCGATAATAACTGTGAGAGAGAGAGAGAGAGAGAGAGAGAGAGAGAGAGAGAATTTCAAAACAGAACATTATTTTTGTGTCCAAATAATAAAAATGTGTAAGACTGGAAAACCTAGAATACTAGACATCACCACTAAATAGAATCAACAGACACAATATGTAGTATTGATTTTTCAAATGCAGTGTCAACAAGCATTCTTTTTCTCTTCTTCTTCTTCTTCTTCTTCTTCTTCTTCTTCTTCTTCTTATCTCTTTTTTGTTTTTTTGTTTTTTCTTTCTTTTAGAGGTAAATTAATAAAGTGACAACAAAGGGGCACATCCTCCATCCATACACTAGGGGTCTACAAAAAGCCAACTATAATCCATCCACCATAGATAACTCTCCCATAAAATCAACAAACGCAAAAGAAGTGTCACAAAAATTCCCTTTCAGCCAAAAATGAAAACAGCGTAAAAAAGCCAATTCAAGTTTGTGAAATGCAATCCCAATAAAAAATAAAACCATTAACTTCAGTATCAAATGAAAACTACATTTATGTAACCTTGAATTTTGGCAGAGAAGCAACATTCACAAATATAATCTTTTTTTATCCCCCTTGACAAGTAACACCAATAATACCAATGACAACCAAAAGAGCAGCAATAACTACCATGTTAACAAAAAGAGGAAGTAACAGCATGCCAAAAACATGATGACCACAGGGTGAGAGAGAGAAACTAAGAGACCTAAGTTATTATATGCTTCCGCATATGTAGGGTTTGCAACAATAGCTTTCTGAATCATGCTTGCAGCAACATCCATTTTACCCTGTAAAAAGAAATAAAACGTAAAATCGATCAGCAGCTGCATATTGTCCTTTCCAAAAAAATGATTTTTTTGAACGGGTATAGGTATTGAACCTAGACAGTGTAGACGACACCAAGATTGTTCAAGGACTGTGAGAAATTTGGTTTGATGGATAAAGCCAACTGCAGAAGAATAAATAATTTTTATAATATCAAGCGCACGATGATTTGAGACTTAAAATTTGCACATAAGCATCATAATTTTGCCTGATAACACTCCACAACTTTATCAAGGTTGTCACGGTCTTTGTATATCACTCCTAAATTGTTGCATGCCTCTGTACAATGAGGATTGAAGTGGAAAACAAGTTCATAAAACACAATTGCCTGCACAGATATTAAATAAATATTCTCAAGTTCTAGATTTGAAATGCATCAAATTTCTCATTAAAGCAACTAACAGAAAGGAAGAAAATGAACGATGATTGCAAAAAGGAAAAAAAGTAAAATAAAGATAATATACTTTCTAGTAGAGAATAATGTTTGAGGAGATCAGTTTCATTCATGTGAAGTTTGCTTCAGATTGAAAGACATGACAAGCAGAGAGATAGAGAGACACAAAAGTTTTATTTCCGACAACTTTACCATGTCAAACTTCAGCATTTCCCCATATGCAACGCCTAGATTATACATGGCATCAGCATAGTGCCAATTATAATACAGAGCCTTCTTGTAGTATTCCACACCATGGTTAATGTCTCCCTCCAATTTAACCTGAATATATCATTAATTCACAATTTTTTTAAAAAATAAAATTGTGAATGATAAAAAACCAGAACAAAATGATTTCTACAAGCAAGTGTTTAATGTAGGAAGATAGACTATTACAAATGATCCTTGGAGTTTCTCTCCTTCTTCCATGTTTATTATGGGGAAATTTTGGCACTATTGCACTATGTTGTTTCTCAAGACCCCTATAGGTGAACACTAAAAAGTAAAATTTATTTTTGACATCAACTTGTGTCATCTAAATAGATCTAATATGTGTCATTGATGAATGGAAGACTAACAATTATATTCAAGAAACATGAAATGTGTTATAGCACAAAATCACCAAAAAATTGCATCAACTAGAACTAATCTAACATTAGACCATCCAAATTATTGACCATAGTACTGCCAGGAGTCACAAATCAAAGCCTAAGAAAAAATATGGGTACGGGACACGGACACGACACAGACAAGTAGATACGGCATTTTTCCAAAAGTAGGACTAGAACATGTAGAGCACTTTTCCAAAACTAGGACACATACACGTCAAATAATATATTAAAATTTTATTTTATATGTGCATATATAATTTTATATAAATTAAATAAAATCACTTTTTTCAATAAATAATTTTTGTCTAAAATAACCATTATACAATTGAATTTTTATTCTCTAACATGTGGCCAAAAATTGGCCAGGTCGAGGATCTACTACATTAACAAAGCCAACAAGGCACATGAGTCTACAACATAAAAAAAAAATATTCAAAACGATCGCTTTGACTTCTTCCTTTCACAACTCATCTACTACGATTTGTACATTTTGTCTCTAGATGTGTCTCTGCAAGCTCAAGTCGAGCAACTATAGCCTCCCCTCCACTGAGGGCTTGGGTCTTGATGAGGTGTCATCAGTCTAGGAAATCAATTCTGATGGGGGCTTTTGCAAGGGCTTCAATCACAATTAGGTGTGGTCATTCTAGGGCATCGATCACAATGGGGGCTTCGACGAGGGCTTCAATCATGATGCATGCATCTATCTAGGGCTTCAACAAGGGTTTTAATTGTGGTTGTTAAAGCCTTCGATCTAGGGTTCCAATAACACTGGCATCAATTGCAACGAGAGTTTATTTTATCCATGGTCAATTTCTTTCAATAAATTTCTTTCTTTTAGAGGGAAAAAATAAATAAATAAAAGCAAGTATCCGGCAATGTGTCTGGTCTTGTCCATCACATGTCCATAATTTAAAAAAAGAAAAAAGAAAAATTGGATGCTATTTTTCGCTTCTCAAACACAAGTCGGTGGCATGTTCGGAAGTATGTGTCTCAGACATCTAGGACAATAATACATGAGATGATAGTGTGTCGGTGCTTCATAGACCAAAGCTAATAATAAAATTGTCAGGGGATAGCAAAAGTTCTGCAGGTAACTATGGAATGTAGTTTAGCATGTGACTAATTCAACCCTATGTACACAAGAAGAACCTGAAAACAGATGAAAGTAAAAATTGAAACATATAAGAGTAAAAAAGGAGAGAGAATACATTATAACAAAGATGGAGGAGCAAAAGAATATAATATAAAAAAAGAGAGCCCTTTGACATATATAAAGAAAACAAGAGATATGCTAATGACCAACCAATGGGTGGTCATTAGTCATAATGTATGTGTAAAAAGTGTAGAAAATGTATAAAAAGTGTATAGAAATGTGTAAAAATGTTTAAGAATACATGGAAAGTGCATCGGAATTTTAACTATTTTTTCATTATTTTCACCTTAAACACCCATATGGCCATGCATTACCCAAAAACAAAGGGCAATGTGGAAGACCAGAAAAGAGAAATGGATTTGCGTGCAGCAGTTGCCAGCAACAACCAAAAAGATCAAATGCCAGCAAAAATTTTAGAGAGATGACAATATGCAGCTGCTGATTGCAGAGGACATTCCCTGTTACATGGACTCTTCTACTTCTTCTAAAGTATCCGTGTCTACCGGATATGACAAAGATAAGGGTGTAGGACATGTGTCTTCCAAATCCTCAAACTTTTTACGATATTTGAAGAATAAGAATTTCACATTAGCTAGTAAAGAAACATTTGTAGCTCTAACATAGAAAAGAGATGAAAATTCTGTATTTTCTCTAAATTCTATTTAATTTCAAGTACATTTTTACATAATTTACCACATCTTATTCAAGAATATTATACAATATGCAATATATGTGTCATGACGAGTCCTCATTCTCATATCCAACTTTTGGATACAAATCCCTCTTTTGGATACAAATCCCTCTTTTGGATACATATCCCTATATCCTTAGATTTAGATTTACAAAGGTCTAATACTTAGACACACACACACATACACCCCTAGTACTTGTAGCCGAGTCCATGTAACATAGGACATTCCCATAGAATAAGACTAGGATCGATATAAATAAGTGCTTCTGGAGTGATGTGTAACGTGGAAGTAGTGAAAAATGAAGGGGAAGTTTTATATGGCAAGCATGATACCACATTGCACATTCCTTTCTCCTTAGATTTAATCAGCCCCTCCAATTATGCCATAAGTTTAAACTTTACCTAGCCTAATCTGTTCTTACTCATAGAACAGATAAGATTAAGTAACATTTTGGTTTCACAAACAATACCCCTTTGCAAACTCATAGAAGCACTTATACACTAGTAGTTATTATAAGTTCCTAATGACCAATAAAAGTCCAAAATGAGTATCACTACATCAATTTCCTTCATATTCTTGTGAAATGATACATATAGTGGGAAGGATGCCAGCAAGTGACCCTGCAAATGCAACCATTAGTTTCAACTCTTAACAGATTTAAATATACACTACAAACAAAAAAAATCCAATACCGAAGAAAGACATTGCCCTCCAGAGATCAACTCTCTCAGTTCATTCTCAAGCTGAGACACGGATGGAGCTTCCACCACACAATTTGCCTTTCCTTCAATCAAGAATGTGATTTCTCCTTTTGGTTGGCGAGTCAAGAATGCTCCTTTGGCTTCTTCCAAAGTTCCACACCAAAACTATAAAGGCATGATCTATATTAGTAAATCAAAAGAGAACAACACCCGCAGACATGCTGACATGACCAGCAGTGAAAACATGTTTATCCACTTACAAACCATGATTGTCACAGCATACTAACGCGTCTAAGTCATTAAAAGACTATCATTGTAGTATTATAGTCAAGTAAAATATGGGACTAAATATTCTGAAGGGTGTCAATTGGGAGAAACCATTGACTTCATAAATGCATCCTAGATTTGCAGGGTATATAACCAGCAACATAGTGAATTTCTAGAAAAACCATGTGCAACCAATAACAATTATCAAAGAGAAGAGAAACTATAGCAAATAACTTAAAATACAAACCCACCTCTTCATGTATTTTTGTCATCTCTCGAGCTATGGCACATTGTCTGCAACACATCAAAACAATGGTCATAACCAATCCTCAGGCAGCGTGCATCTTTTGGTTAAATAAAGAAGAAATGATAGGAATATATAGAAAACATAGGAGCCAAAATCTTGCACTGCCAATAAAATTAAATTTATAAACCAAAATTTATTTAGTTAGACCCTTCTTCCCGCCTCCTGCCCCAGTGCGGTGCCCTGGGGAATCTATGACAACACATTTATACAGTTCTCGAGTGAGTTATGACTGCAACTGCATTATAGTGAAAACTTATTAGGATTGACTTGATGTAATAAGTGATTTAACTTTAACACAAGGCAACACAAAGATGTCAAGAAGGTCAAGAAGGATGTGGCTTGAATTGATGAGGAACTAAGCAAGGGCCTATAAAACAATGAAGAATCTAGCTTTTGATAGAGCTTATAGACATAAATGGTGAATGGATTTGTGTGCACAACCCCAGCAACATATACAAACTTCATTTAATTTGGTTGAATATCTAATTCTTTCATGCAAACATTTGTCCCAATACCAACAGTTTCCAACGTCATTTTTCCAACTGTACCTGGAATACTAGAGAACATTCATTAATCCAGGTACTTAAAAGATGAAAATACATCAAAGTAAATGAAGGACCAAAGCAAAGAGTCAACTAATAAGCTTACCAATCCTTATCAAGTGATATCTCTGAATAGATATAGTAAATGAATTTTTACAGTGTTAATAGATATAGTTTGCTTGAAATAGTTCTCAAAATTAAATTCACAATACTTTAGTGTTGCTTGATCCAAGAAAATGATGATTACTTCTCAGCAATCCTTCATGTGTTGCACAGAGTTGTGATCTCTTAGAACTACAAGAACAAAACAAAATGCCTAAAGAACACATAGAACGTAACACTGTAATGCCAATGTTCAAAGAAAAAAGAAGCTTGCCCTCTGAAACAAACTAGACTAGACCTAGACATGTCCATCTCTTACTAGATTAAGAACAAGAAAGGGCAAGACCATGGCATATGCTTAACAAGCTGACATGATAAGTTCACACACATCCCCATTTTTTATGTAACTAATTTAGTAGTCATCCAAGACATAAATACCCAATGAAAACATTTTAAAATGAAACTTAAATCATATCAGAGATACTGTAACATAAATTTTTTATATTAAAAAGAATTTTCTAGTCCCTCTACTATTTTTCAAAGTGTATTCAAGTCAACAAAAAGATTTTAAAGAAAATGTATTCGGCTGATAAATATTCTCAATATACATTTAATCAAAAGAATTGCCATTTGCTTGTTCTATGATACACTATATGTAATGCCCTCAAAATAATACATAAAACCCATCACTTTAGACATGCATTGATATAAAAGAAACCAACCATTTCTATTCATCAGAGTAATTCTTACAACTGTATTACATGTTAACAACAAAAGCAAATGCCCTATGGGCTTACAGCTTTCCAAGTCAACACCTGGTTACACAAAAGAAGAGTGCTAACTCTATACAAAATAAGCCCTTGGCTTGATATACATGTAATACAAACAAAATAAATAAAAAGAGTCTTCAACTCTCATCATCATCCAAGCTATGTCCTTGGAGGTGGCATACTACATGTACCTGAAAATAATGTCCCATAAAGGGTGAGCCAACGCCTAGTAGAGATATGCTAAACACAGTATGAGCAATAACTAAGACATTAGCAATTGATAAATGTTCAATTTTCATAAATCAATTCATAACTCATTTCCATTTCATGACCACTATGTTTATGTTTCATTTCAGTTTCCATTTCTTATCAATTTCACAATTTACATCAACGGCTCAGAACCTGGCCAACCACTTATATGAGACAGTGACTCATATTAAACGTTTCCCATTTTACAATAGATAAACATACTAGTTGTATCAACATCTCAACAGATAAGCATACAAGCTGTATCCACATTTCAATAGATAAACATATGAGCTATATCAACACTTCCATAGATAAGCATATAAGCTATATCAACACGTTAACTGATAAGCATATGAGCTGTATCAGTGGAGTCCATCCCTTATCTCCTCCCAAACAACATCCGGTTTAGAGGTCCATCCCCTATCATCCCCTAAACTGTGGAGTACATCCCCTATCTCCTCCCAAACAACATCCGGTTTAGAGGTCCATCCCCTATCTTCCCTTAAACCGTGGAGTACATCCCCTATCTCCTCTTAGGTCATATACACAATCACAATCAATATTATAACATTTGATGTATTCTATCAACCGTCATTACTTTATGACATATCCAATTGATTACGTTTTTAAGTTTGGCCTAATCTTCATGCATGTCTACAACAATCAAACTACCTCCACCGGTAGCCCAAGGCCAATTATTTCTAAAAGATAATAAAAGCTCTAATAAAATATCAATGTTTTCAAAAGTGAGTGATTAATAAATCCAACTCCACTATTCTACTATATAATGAGTCAATTTCATTATTTCCAACTCAATTCCATATAACCACAATTTTCCCAAATTAATCATACCAATTAATTTATACAACCAATTAGGGTTTTCTACCCCATTTCCCAATATTGACCCAATGGTCTATATATCAACAACCAACAACGATATCTTATTTTGAAACCCACAATACACATTTTAGAATCAAAATAACAAAACCCTCTTTTAACATTTTGAAACCCTAAGTCCCAAAATTACCCAACTTCAACACTTTATCAAAACAACCAAAATCTATGTCAAAGACCATAAGAGTAAGTAGGAATCCCTACCTCAAAAGATGACACCCAACGAAGAAGATGACGAAAACGAAGTTGCTCCAAATCACAAGTTTCTCGGATCAAAATGTAGCCCTCGACGATCAACCCAACTTTTACAAAGGCCAATGGTGAGGAAACAACTCCTACGAGATCAATACTTAGAGAGAAGTTTGAGTTTCAGAGTAAGGTGCTCTCTAATGGCCTTTTCGGAAAAGTAAGAGAGAGAGAGAATGAGAGAAAGTGACTTAAAAATGCCCCACAACCAACTAATATACGACATTCCCGCTCGAGCAAACAACACAACGCTCGAGCGTCAAGAACAAAAACTAGGTCCGCTCAAGCGCAAGAAAGCCCGCTCGAGCGCCAAGACACAAGAATACAGTACCTCCGCTTGAGCGCGAAAACCAATCCGTTCGAGCGTAGATTTTCATCTCCCAGAACTTTTCAGAAAAAGAACTACCCGCTCGAGCTCTAACAAGACCGCTCGAGCGCGACCCGCTCGAGCGCAGTACACCCGCTCAAGCGTAGAAAACACACCTGCAAAAGTTTTTGCAGGGACATGAAATGCTGGAAGGGTGTAAACCACGCTCGAGCGCAGAATGACCCGCTCGAGCGGACCAGACAAAAACTGGGCAACAACAATGGCAGCCAAAGCTCTACCAACCTGTAACAACCAAGCCCAACACAACCTATAACTCAAACAAATGGAATCAAAGGATGACAACAAGGTAGATACAACTACCAGCTCCACGGAACCAAAGTCCAGAATACAACAGATACACAAAGGGAAAATCGAGATCGCTATAACCTTCCCCCCTTAAAGAATTTCGTTCCCGAAATTAAATAAAGGTTTTTCAAAAACAAGATTTTCGCAATTCCCAACATTATTACAATGCGAAATTTAACAACTCGACCCATTACCGGTCTTTCCATCTCTATTCAAGAGGCAATTCACCACATATCTCAATATGTATCAACAACATGCTTTTCCGAAATTCAATAATTTCTACATACATGTTTCACAATTTTATATCATATATCTCCATTTCTACAATACATTGAACACATGCAATGTTATAACAAATTTCCATTAACCAAAACATCCACAATGTTTTACAACTTAAGACATATATAATGCTCTTAAAGTTCAACGATATTACAAAATTACCAATGCATGGTTACACATCAACAAACAAGTCCGGATATTTCTCATGGACTTCCAACTCACGTTCCCAAGTGGCTTCCTCCGCTCCATGATGTTTCCACAAAACCTTTACCAAAGGAATGGTCTTGCCACGCAGGACTTGATCCCGTCTATCCAAGACCCGAACCGGTCTTTCTTCATATGAGACATCCCCATCTACCTCTAAGTCGGTCCAATCTAACACATGCGACGGATCCGGCTCATACTTCCGAAGCATACTCACATGAAACACGTCATGCACTCCGGACAACTGCAGTGGTAAAGCTAAACGATAAGCAACCTCCCCAATCTTCTCAAAGATCTCAAAGGGACTAATAAACCGAGGGGATAACTTCCCACTCTTCCCAAACCTCATCAAACCTCGCCTAGGTGATATTTTCAAGAAAACATGATCACCTACCTCAAACGCCAAAGGCCTCCTCCTACGGTCAGCATAACTCTTTTGGCGACTGTGGGCTGTAACAAGCCTCCTACGGATAAGCTCAACTTTCTCCGTCGTCTCCCTAACCAACTCCAAACCCAACAAAGGTGCATCACCCACCTCGGCCCAACACACTGGAGACCTACACGGTCGGCCATACAAAGCCTCAAATGGTGCCATACCGATGCTAGACTGAAAACTGTTGTTGTAGGCAAACTCCCCCAAGGGCAAGTGCCTCCCCCACGTCCCACTAAAGTCAAGGACACAACCTCGAACCATATCCTCAAGGATCTGAATAGTACGCTCAGACTGCCCGTCAGTTTGAGGATGATAAATCGTACTAAAGGTCAACTTAGTGCCCAAGGCACTCTGCAAACTCTGCCACAACCTAGCAGTAAAATGAGGATCTCTATCTGAGACGATCATCACTGGGACCCCGTGCAATCTCACTATGTCCCGAATATACAAGTCGGCGAGCTGATCTACCGAATCTTTCACGCGCATAGTAATGAAGTGCGCCGACTTAGTCAACCGATCTACAACCACCCAAATGGCATCACTACCCTGCTGAGTCCTCGAAAGACTTAGAACGAAGTCCATAGTGATATGCTCC